GCTGGGCGGGGCTGAGAAGGGCTGGGCGGGACTGAGGAGGGCTGGGCGGGCCCTAAAAAGGATTGACGTCAATGTGATTGTTGCCGAGAGGCAGTGTTAACGCCGGTCTCCCAGGTGGGGCGGGTTGATGTACTTCATTAAGGTTCTGTCCCATTTGGCCGTGTGCCTGGGACGCAGATCATCCATGGTGGCCCCCGGCACATGCCAGGCCCCCGCCCTTGGGGGCTAGGTACGCTGCAGCCTTTTCAGGGAGCTTATCAGTGATCTGTCAGGCACGACAAAAGCCTGAATGGCATAGCATAGAGAGAGGGATTAGTCTAAATGTGAGCGCAGAGCGTGTTCGCTGCGATAAAGTGCTGCACCATTCTGTGGCCTGCAGGCTTGGAAGGGCTCACCCCGCCCACGGAGTGTCTGCTTTTCATGCCCGGCCAGAGCAGGAGCGATAACATCTCTGCAGCCCCCGGTGGCCCAGTTAGCCCCCTTCATTATCACCGCTATGTCACTCCGCAGCTCGGGTGACGTTTCCATCCAGAGTGACTTTGCAGTCAACACAGTGACCGAAGTACTTGGTTTGAAGTACTTGGTAGTGACTGAAGTACTTGGTTTGATAGCAATAGGAGGAATGTGGACCAGCACAGGCTCAGCCTGACAGAGTGGAAGATAAAGGCAAACTTTATCTCACATGGGGGTGTTGCAGCAGAAAAAAATATGATATATAACAATTTAGAACAGTTTACTGTTCTTAACACATTAAAATTACATAAAAAAAAACTAAAAGCATTAAGTTGTAATTAATGAATTTGTAGTGCATCAGTGAATAAGCTAGAATATAGAGACTATTTCTATAGTGCAAAGTACAAGACTCATACATTCAGGTGTATGTCGAATGAAGGTGTAATACACAAAAAGAGAACTTTAACTCCTTGGGAGTCGCTGTCCATTTAGCAAACATTCTATGGTGCTGCTGAGCTGTATAGCAAAATGCTCAGAGGATGATTTGCTGCCGTTTGTTGCTGCTTTTCGAAGCTTTGTTCGCTGTTTTTATATGCGGAATGTTAATGTTCTGATCTTTTCTTTATAAGGAATGACTTGAGTAGCTGGCATTAATACAGTTTGATGTTTACAAAAGCAATTTACCTGCCTGTTAGAGAGGTAAATTGATCTTGAAGATGAGTTCAAATTATACAAATATCACGGCTGTTTATACATGCCGTATAAATATGATTAGCTTCTCTTTTTTTGGCCAGGATACAGTCGTGGTGTAGCTCTGATTAAAGCAGGCACTGGGCATGCTACAGGAATCTGACTCAAACGCAGATCCAACGTGCTTCGCATCCAGACGTTTGGCCACATCTGACAGACGGGTTCTGGCCCATTCCAGATCACGATGTTCTCAAAGTTTGCCTCACATTTACTTTATAGCTAAACATGGCAAAATGTTGAGCTTGGACCTTTTTATCGGAACTGCATGGTAGAGCTTAGAGAGGAGAAATTATGGTCTGATCCCCCCCCCCACCCCCAGGAAAACCAAATAAGATGATGTGGTCTCATAAACACTTAGTTCCAAATGGATTTCTGTCTTGCTACAGCTTCCAGAACTTATCGTATGTAAATAAGATTCCAGGTTTCGCAAAAACCTGCCGCTGACACTTTCAGTTTGCGTGGCCGCTCTCCGCTTGCTCTGAATAGATCAGTCTAAACACAGTCTAAAGTAGGTCGGCTTCTGAGGCCTGCTTTAGATGCTGATATACAATATAAGGACAGTAACGTACTGGCCGAGTGTGAGAGTGCAGAAAAAGCACCTTTGGGGCCTCGTTGATGAGGCCATGGACCCCAGCTCTGCTACATGCTAATGTTGTATACTAACGCCGCATGTTAACGGCGTGTGGTAATGCCATATGGTAACGCCGCATGGTAATGTCGTATGCTAATGCCGCATGCCAATTACGTGTGCTAATGCCATATGGTAACTCTGCGTGCTAATGCCGTACACTAACGGTGTGTGCTAATGCCATATGGTAACGCCGCGTGCTAATGCTGTATGCTAATGCCGTGTGCTAACACTGTGTGCTAACGACGCATGCTAATGGTTGTTCCTTCCCCGCCAGATGTGGACGAGTGCCAGGCCATTCCCGGACTCTGCACTGGGGGTAACTGCATCAACACTGTGGGCTCCTACGAGTGCAAATGCCCCGCTGGGCACCGGCAGAGCGAGACCAATCAGAAGTGCGAGGGTGAGTGGTGGAGCGGGCTGTGTGAGGTGTGGTGACCAGGTGTGGTGACCAGGTGTGGTGACCAGGTGTGGTGTGGTGACTGCCATCCAGGGGGGGGGGGGGGGTCTATGGTCTCAAATGTTCCCCACAATATAATAAAAACCTGCTATTTTGACGATGTGGGAACCACTGTTCAGGTCCCCACAAGGATTTGTAACTGCAATCAAAAAAGTAAAAATGCCAAAAGTCCGTATTTAGTTTGGTCACTTATGGTTATGGTTAGGGCTGGGTAGAGGTTAAGGTCATTATGTTGGGATTAGGGTTTTCCCCATAGAAATTAATAGAGAGTCCCCACAAAGATACACTTACAAACCTGTGTGTGTCAGGAATTACAGTTACTGGCCAGGAATCACAGTTACTGGTCAGGAATCACAGTTACTGGTCAGGAATCACAGTTACTGGTCAGGAATTACAGTTACTGGCCAGGAATCACAGTTACTGGTCAGGAACCCACTCCTGAGTAATACGTACCGTGTCCTGGATGGCGGCTCGGGGGGGCGGGGCCCTGCTGTGCCCCGCAGTGCTGCTGGGAGCTCAGGTCACCCAAGGTCGGCGTGTTTCCAGTGCATCCTTTAATTAGACAGCGAGGCTGGGCTCTCGAACCAGCAGATGGCAGCAGTGAGGGGCGTGGCCTGTGTCAGTCAGCAGGCTCAGCAGGGAGGCAGCCTCTGCTCTTTGAGGCAAGCTGGTGGGGGGGGGGGTGTAATTACAGGACAATAGAGGGCTGTTGTAAATCAGCCCCCAGGTGAGTAGGGGTGGAGGGGCCGTTTTTATTACCTCAGAGGGGGTTGCTACTTTTCCGAAATTCACGCGCAGTGCCGGCCTACCTGTGATGAGCGTCCAGGTCTCCTGAAGGGCTCACATTCTTCCCAGAGCACGGCTTGCTCCACAGCAGACGCCCCCCCGGCTCACGGCCCCCCACCCCACGGCCCGCGGCCCCAGTACGTAGCAGAATAAGGCGTGTGGCCTAGTCCCCGTTCCCATAATGGTTTGATCTCTCCCTGGATGGCGAGCCGTGATGCGCTGATCCACTGACCCAGGAGTTCTCTGTTTCTTAACTTGTCCTCTGCACATATACATGCACACACACACACACACACAGACACACACATGCACACACACACACGCTCATACATGCTCAGACACACCCAGCCTCACAGAGTCCATCGGTCGGTTCGCCCCTTTCGGAGAGGCCCTCCGCTTGGCCCTCTTCAGCTGCAGCCATTACGCAGCCACACTTCTCACGCTCCCCGCCGCGTGCGTCATCGGCAGGGCCCGGGGCGCGTCTGGCTCCCCGTGCCGCAGGAGGTCGCAGCCCCTGGAAACCGCGGCACACGCACACCACGCCGGCCTTCGGCGCAGGCTGCCTTCTTGCTGAATGCGGGCAATTGCACGTACGCAAATAAATATATCGCATCATAAACCGGGAGCCTCGTGGCTCGCTTCCAGCGCGGCGACGGCCCTCAGACAGCAGAGCCCAGCGCTGTGGTGTAATCTCTGCCCGCCTGCTCTAGGCCGTAATGGGATACCAGTGTACTTCCCGTAGTCTGTACTGGACCACTCTCCTGACCTGTGACTGTGAATGCATGTTAAATGCATTTCAGAACCTTTAAATAGGCGGCAGTGGGATGAAATGCTGTGCCTGTGGTCAGTAGTTTGTAGGTTTGAGTCCCAGGGCCGGCAGGGTGGTGGCAGTGGGATGAAATGCTGTGCCTGTGGTCAGTAGTTTGTAGGTTTGAGTCCCAGGGCCAGCAGGGTGGTGTCACTATTGGGTCCCAGAATAAGGCTCTTAACTCCGAATTGCTCCATGTATGTCACTTAGGATAAAAGCATTTGCTAAATTTGTAAGAGGACTTTTATTGTTTAAACAAATCTGAATAAATGGCAGTAATGTTGGAAGGGGAATCAGGTGACCTCTGACCTCTGGAGTAAAGGTGATGCGTGATGGCATCGGTCTCTGCTTTAGACGGCCGGCAAAAGCTACAAAGAGCAGCTTTGTAGCAAGTAAATGACTTTTACAGTGTCTGTGTTAATCAGTTCGCCATCACACTGAAGGTATCGTGTGTGTGTGTGTGCGTGCGTGTGTGTGTGTGTGTGTGTGTGTGTGTGTGTGTGTGCGTGTTCTCAGACATCGACGAGTGCAGCACCATCTCCGGCGTATGCGACGGCGGCGAATGCACCAACACTGTAGGAAGCTACGTTTGCTCCTGCCCCCGCGGCTACGTCGCCAGTGCCGACGGCTCCAGATGTGTAGGTATGTGAGAGAACCCCCCCCCCCCGTCTGCTTCTCCCTTCCCAGTCACTCCACTGCAGCCTCTTCCAGTTTGTTCCACGCTTTTCCAGTAACCCGCCGCCTCTCAGCCGTTTTTACAGCATTTCTGCTAACACATGGACGGAGGAAAGACTCTCGAAATGGATGACAGGGGAGGGGGCTTTGGCTGGGACGTGCTGGCCACTTGTGAGCTGGGGGGGCAGGGCCCCCCATGGGTGGTGCATTACTGTCTGGCACGGAGCTCACCTGGCCGATGATGAATCTGGAAACTACCAGTAGGGGGCTAAAATTCAACCTTGATGTCCCAGGAAATGGGGCCAACGGGTGGACAGGCATCTGGGAGCACTTACAGGCCGGGGGGGGGGGGGTCATGCGTGTGCGGCACCTGGTCTCGGGCCGGGAGGGCGGGGCACGTGCTGGCAGGAAGTGTGCCGGGGATTGGCCCGGTTCGATCAGCAATGACCATTGTGTGTGTGTGGGGGGGGGAGCAGGATCTTGTGTCCCCCGCCCCCTGCAATTTTTCATGCCCCCCCCGTCAGACCCCAGACAGAAATGCCAGCACGTCACGCAGCAGCTATTCCCCCCAGCTAACATTCCAGTGCACATGGGGCAGAGACTGTTGATTCTGGCTCTGGGTCACCACCGCCCCCCCCCACCAAATGGTACAGGCCTCTTCCCTTACAGTTCTCCTCTCCTTCCCCCGCAGGGTCTCCCCCCCCTCCTTCCGTCACCTAGCCCCTTTCTTGTCCTCCATCTAGGTCCCGGTGGCCTGGCTCTTTGACACATCCTAGCAGCTCCAGGTCAAACCACGGCCCATGTTTCCAGCCAATGAATGGCGCGGATGTGACAGTATTAGCTCTTGGAAGGGTTCGAGACCCAACGGTTGCCGGTTCGAGGATCGGGAGTCCTGCTTTTGTACCACAAGACAGCGGCTCGCCTCTGGCTCAGGGTGCAAGGGTTTGGCTTATCGGCCGCAATGATCCCAGCCGTGCACGGCCCCCGGTGGAGAGGATTCCCCCCCCGGGCTTACTAACGTGAGCCAGATTGCTTGATTAGATCTCCCTGCATCTCCTCCCCGGTTGGAGCCGGCTTGGAACAGTGTGTGTGTGTGGGGGGGTGAGAGTCTTGGAATGTTACTGTTATTTTTTCACTTGGGAGCTTTGCCCCATACCGTGGAGCTGGGGGGAGGCCCAGGCAGGGTACTGGGGGGGGGCCTTTTGGGTTGGCATTAATCAGCCCTGCACTGTCCCACTTCCCTGTGAAATGTCAGTGTGTGAAAGTGACTTTTTTTGTGTGGGATCTGTTTCCAATTGCGGCCGTCATCCGCGTTAGCCCCCCCCACCCCGGACCCCAGCTGGGCTCATCCCTGGGGAGCATGGCGGCTCTGTTTAAAGTGCTCGCTCAGAATCCCGAACGCTCGGTCTCTCATGTCGGCAGTAATTGGCTCAGATTGCTCCGCGTGGAGGTGATTAATTCCAGACCGCCGGCTCGTTAGCGATGCTAATCGGCAGCCCCCGATGCCGCCCCCCCACCCCCGCTCTCACCGACACGCATGAATATACCTCCCCCCCAGCTCCTCTCAGATTGACCCTTTACCTAGCGAAAGCAGCTCTCCTTTGGGGGTGGGGTCACCCTTTTCATTACCCTACCAACCTTAGGAACCCCAAGCTCATAAAGTAACTTCCTACCGGGGGGGGGTCATGTCCGGGACACCCTGAGTGGCAAAGTCAGAGCGGAGGGGAGAGCTGGCCTCTATTCTGCAAGCCCCCCCACCCCCGACCCACCCCCATCAGCTGAGGCACATTCCACTCTGTAACTGTATTTCTCACAAATTTTTGTAGTGGTTTAGGCACACATTGTGTGGGGGGGTATTGTTGCCTCCCCCCAACATGCAGTCTCTGAGCACCCACCCGATCTGCGGCCTGGCCCCCAGCAAACCGCATTTCCCCCTCATCAGAATTGCTAAGCACTGGTGGAGCTGGACGGCGTAGCTCATGCGGGGAAGAGGGCCCCCCAGGCTGCATCCACTGCCGGCACTCGCTCCTTCCTCTCCGCTGCTCTTCCTGTGTTTTCCTTCTTCTCTTTCATTCTCTCACTTGTTATTCTCTCCATTACTTGTTCCCCTTCTTCCTGTCTTTCAAACTGTTAAAATCTACATGAAGATCTTAGTAAATATTATTTTTTCCCGACAACATGTGTTGCTATGACAGTGTTTCTCTCCTGCATTTTGCTATTGATTTATTATGTTTCTCGGTGTGCAGTGCTGATGTCACTTCCTGTCCCCCGTGTGTCCCGCAGACCAGCGAGTGGGGATCTGCTTCTCCGCTCTGGCCAGTGGGCGCTGCGCGGGCGAGCTGACAGGACAGTACACCAAGATGCAGTGCTGTTGTGATACGGGCCGCTGCTGGGCCTCGACGCAAGTCCCAGAGATGTGTCCCGTCCGCGGATCTGGTACGTTCCTGTTCTCCGTCCCTCGGCTTGTCGTAGCGCCTTTGTGTGGTACGGAGAACCCATTTATGGGAGGCTGGGGCCCAATCGCACAGAGAAGGCCACGACGGGACCAAGGAACAGGCGCTTAACGTAAAGTGTGACATTAATCTCTGAATTGCTGACTACCCTGAGAACGGGAGAGAGGTTAATGGGTTTGGGTTAATGGCCCCTCAAATTCATTCATTCCTTGGCCTCCTGGCCCTGACCTCCCTCATGACGCAGTAATCCCTCCCATGATTCCTTATTAGGGCAGACACCGTGGTTTTGATAAGGCCTGGAATGTTCTGCCCCTGGCTCCCTGAGAGTGTTCCTACAGAGGACCCTTTCTCTGTTCTCCAGACGAGTACCGGCGGCTCTGTCTCGAAGGCGTCCCCCATGGGACGGGCAGCACCGGCTTCACCGGCGTTGACCGCACCTTCAGCTACAGGTACAAGTTCAACCCCGCGGGTCCAAATGGCAACGGGCATGGCAACGGGCACATAAACGGGCACGGCAACGGCCACGGCAACGGAGGGCAGATCAGAGGCGAAGGGGTGGGAGGCAACGGGATCCCCCTGTCCCAGATCGGTGAGTCCCACCACCAGCCTCGTCCTTGAAACAGGAGCAGACGGTCGGCTGGTTATACAGGTGCTGAAAGGTGTCTTCCTGTGTTCGCCGTGGCCGTCCCACAGGCACAGTGACCCTCAACAACACCATTGACGTGTGCAAACACTTCACCAACCTGTGCCTGAACGGCCGCTGCATCCCCACACCCACCAGCTACCGCTGTGAGTGCAACATGGGCTTCCGGCAGGACGTGCGCGGCGAGTGCATCGGTAAGTGGACATATACCCAGCTCAGCCAGAAGATAGCACACATGCAGGTGGGTCACCAAGCACCTTGTCTAAATGCTTAGGCTCTGCTGCCATCTTCAGGCTAGCTGTGGACCATCCTGAGATTTACAGCATTGTGGTGTGAATGGAAATTCCAGTACAGGCAGCAGTTTACACAAAGTGAGTAAATGGGCTCCTTTTCTCTCTCCCCCAGACACGGATGAGTGTGTTACCAATCCCTGCCTGAATGGCGACTGCGTGAACACCCCTGGCTCCTACCACTGCAAGTGCCACGAGGGTTACCAGAGCACCCCGACCAAGCAGGCCTGCATCGGTATGTCGCCGTCCTGCACCACATCTCTGCCTCAGACTGCAGCTGTTCATCCTGCTGTTCATTAAGAAAAATTTCTTAAAATGTCTTAAATACGTATTTTGACAGGACTTAAAAATTGATTGGATGAACTCGACGTTTCCCTACATAAAGTCACATTACCTTAAGTCTGACTTTTAAGTGTGTTTTTGGGAAAATTTTGTATTGATCACCCTTTAACAAAACTACAGAAAGAAACCAACACGGAAGCAATAAGCGCTACCTGCTAACCATTAGCTGCTAACCATTAGCTGCTAGCCATTAGCTGCTAACCATTAGCTGCAAACTGTGTAGCCTGGTCAGAATGTTATCCGCGCATGCCCAGCTGGTGTGTGGTGATGTGGGGTAACGTGGCGTCTCCTCTCATCAAAATAAGCTGAATGTTCATGTTGAATGTGAGTAAATTCATGTATTTTCCTTCATATCTTTCATACTTTTTTTTCACCAAAATGGACGTAAAATGACTTAAATTGCATTTATAAACACTTGGGGAAATCTGCAGAGACCCTGACCGGTATCATACAGCAGATCTCTGTACCCCAACAGATCTGTCTTACAGTGGCCCTCTGCCTTATGGAAGATCTCTGTCCTGTAGTAGATCTTCATCATACAGCAGATTTGTCCCATGGTATATCTTGGTCCTACAGCAGATTCTCTGCACTCTGTCTGTACTTCTTAGCCCTTAAACCCCTTTGTTCAGACAAGATGATCTCCCACTGTTCTCCCAGACATTGACGAATGCATCGTGAACGGGATCATGTGCCGTAACGGCCGCTGCGTCAACACGGATGGAAGTTTCCAGTGCATCTGCAACGCCGGTTTTGAGCTCACCCCCGATGGAAAGAACTGCATAGGTGGGTATAACTGCTTTGGGCCACCACCCTGTGAGCTGCTCGTGTCCCACGCCGGTCCGCACCACCCTGTGAGCTGCTCGTGTCCCACGCCGGTCCACACCACCCTGTTAGCTGCTCGTGTCCCACGCCGGTCCACACCACCCTGTTAG